AGGGCCCTTACAGTACCACAGAGCCTACAGGCCCCACCACCTTCCTCCCTGGAATGCCTTTCCCTCTAGCACTGTGTGATTACACACTTTTACACCACCCTGTGACAGGGCTATGCTTCAAATGTATCTCACTGGGAAACTATGTTTGGGAGGCGCAACCTTCTACAAGTATCTCCGCAATCAAGATCAGAACTAAAGAGATGTTAACTGCATGGTTTCCCTTGTTCGTGTCTAGGGCAAGGAACTTGGATATTGATTGAAGCAAAATCTGTTCCATAGTCAATAAGAAACTACAACCCTCCTTTTTTTTTAACAGAACTACAACCCTCCTTACCATCTTGTCTTGAATTGTATTGTGATTGTAATGTCTTCCTTATATTGTAAAGCGCTGCGCAAACTGTTGGCGCTATATAAATCCTGCATAACAATAACCAGACAGTGAGCTGGGACTAAAAAAGGACCACACAGCTCTGCACTAAACCACCGCAAAGCACAGCAGAGCCTTCATAAAGAAGAGGCATCTTTTTGTCTCATGTCTATCACAAATTAAAAAGCAAAAATAGGGTAGGGCCATGCAAATACGTTTTTTGAGCCATCCAAAACTGCTCGTTTACAGCACAGATAAGAGGCATTTATTCCAAACCGCATACAGCTGTTTTAGGACCGATGTTGATGGGCTTTTGTTTATTTCAAGCAGATTTTTAGACTTGTATGGGAATGCAAGACCCTCTTGAAGCAAGTCAAATGCAGTTCAGAAGGAGATCAAATACACTCGTCAATGAATTCTAAATGATCTCAGAAGAATCTCAAACTGATGCCATCAACACAAGCCCAAAGCCCATTGACAAGGCCCTTAGGCTTGTTGGCCATCATCAGTGCAATGTATGGGAACCATGGCTTCTAAGGAGTAGGTCTTGGCTGCTATGAACGACATGCCCTGCTCAGTAAAATAAGGAATAAACCTCTTTGTTGTTTAGATTTGTGATTTAAGTGAGGCACGAAGATACCTTCTGTTTTATAGTTAAAGTTTATTTTATCTTTAAATAAAGTAACTTAAATATTTCTTCTCAGTTCCTAAAGCCGAGAGGGCCAATACAATGTAAAATAGGATTCAAGCAATTTAAGGCCGTGACACACTGCACGCGAAGCCGTGCAGAGCGAAGCAAAGCTATCCGGCACGGAGCTTTGCGTGCAGTGTGTGAGCTGAGTGCAGTCAGATGATTGACAGCACCTTCAGCCAATCGGCTCGTCCGTAACAAACTGCCAGCTGTCGCATCGCAACGCGCTGGTTTATACGCGCGAGCCGATTGGCTGAAGTTGAAATTGTTCATCTCGGCACGCTCAGCTCCGCGAGCTCTCGCAAGCTGAGGTGCCGAGCAGAAAAATTACATGACACACTGCTCGCAAAGGCAGCGCGCCCCCGCTCCGCGCGCAGTGTGTCACGGCCTTTAGAATTTCAGAAAATGTGTTGCCTGTGCCAGCCCCCTTTGGTCCCTTTAATATAGCATTAGAAGCGTCTCGCTACATCTATTCTACAAGTGTATAAAACATCTGCTGATCTTTCCAGAAATCTAGTGAGCCAATAACTTCCTGTTCAATCTGCCTCTATTGCCCTCTTATCAGCTACATTGTTCCCAATCACACAAGGACAGGTTGTGTTACTAGCAGGAGCACCAGGTAAAAAAAATTAAATAAATAATGAAGGAAAATATCGTGAAAAATAGAAACCAAATCACATGCAAAAGGACAGGTAAACTGATATATAATATATTTGTGTTCTTGGGCTTTTAAGCTTTAGGCCTCATTCACACGAGAAAAAGCCAGCACGTACAGCTTCGTGCTGCGTGCACGGCCGTATCGGGCAGCTCCCGGGAAGGACAGGCGCTGCATGTGATTAGTACGCAGCCCCTGTCCTTCTCTATAGTACGCAACCATACGCCGCCCTACGCTCACCGGCCCTGCACGTCCGTGCGGGTATCAGTACTCGTACGCTGGCAGGATGGATCCTGTCTGCGTCCGAGCCACGACACCCGTACGGACCTGCACTTGACGTGGGCGTCGGGCGGCGCATAGGCCGCATACTACCATAGAGAAGGACAGGGGCTGCGTACTAATCACATGCAGCACTTGTCCTTCCCGGGAGCTGCCAGATACGGCCGTGCACGCAGCACGGAGCTGTACGTGGCGGCCTTTTCTCGTGTGAATAAGGCCTTAAAGCAGGGATGTCCAAACTCCGGCCCTCCAGCTGTGGTGAAACTACAAATCCCATGAAGCATCTCTCTCCGGGAGTCATGTCTGTGGCTGTGAGAATCTTGCAAAGCCTCATGGGATTCGTAGTTCCACCACAGCTGGAGGGCTGCAGTTTGGACGTCCCTGCCTTAAAGGATATTCTTCGATGTGGTGGCTGCATGAGTTCCTTTTTTTTTTTTCATTTGCTTCGTGGTTCTGCCTTACAACACTGGGGGTCCCCGGTTCGAATCCCAGTCAGGACACTATCTCCAAGGCGTTTGCATGATCTCCTTGTGTTTGTGTGGGTGTCTTCCAGGTACTCCGGTTTCAAAGACATGCTGGAGGGTTTACTGGCTCCCATCTAAATTGACCCTGAATGTGTGTACAATAGAGACCTTAGATTGTAAGCTCCTTCAGGCAAGGGACTGATGTGAATGTGCAGTATCTAAAGCGCTGCGTAAATTGTTGGCGCTATATAAATACCTGTAATAAATTATATATATATATCTACAGAGGAGAGCGACGGCTTGCTTTAAAGTGCTTTTACGGCTTGTTCAGTATATATTCACACTGAGAACAGGATCACTTTACCATTGGAAAAGAAGGGGGCTCTGGCTAACGAGTTATACACATAGGAATTTGATTTTTATGAGGCAAATCAGACCCTCCCCTCACTCGACCAGCACATTCCATATCCAGTGCATGTTAGATGATCTCACTATTCGTGTCTATGAAGCAATAATTGGGAAGGCTGGGTCATCTCTATGTACTACCTTATAGCTTTTATAAATGGGAATTAGGGACATTTTCTTGTGCCAAATATTTAGGCAAAAAACAACACCCCCCACTTACTGCCAACATTATAGGCAGACAGAAATACAATTATACTACAGCTACACAGGACAAATATATAGACATCTAAAAGAACAGAGGCCATCACAAGAAGCTTAAAAGAGAACTATGGGGTAAGTGTTTTTCCCCATAGTTCTCTATCGGGTCACGAGAGAACGTATACTAACCTCCTCACGTGACCCAAAGCTCAGTATATAGCGAGCTATTGCCCGCTATATACTGAAATCGCCGCAGCCAGGATGGATACCGACAATACTATTGAGATCCACCCAGCTGAATGACTGACAGCTGGCTCTGCCTATCTAGATGCAGAGCCAGCTGTACCAGCCCCCTCCCCTGTCCGTTCTGCCAGTCAGCGCTGGCGGATCGGAGCGGGGAGGGGGGAATCCAGCCCCTCCCCTGTCACGGCAGAGAGCTGTGACAGGATCGAGAAGTGAGCGAACGCCGGTATGTGTTCGCTCACCTCCCGATCTACTGAGCCGACCTGTGACTGTCTGTGACTGTCTCATTGTCACAGGTCGGCTAGAACTATGAGGTGAGTGAAAAGCACTCACCTCATAGTTCTCCTTTAAGGATAGCATCACCCAATCCTGTCTATTTCAGCTGGACTGAGTGACAATTTTTTCTCTATGGTGAACCATCAATGAGGCAAGTTAAAAAAAACCTTGTCTGATCACTGTTTCCAACAAAGTAAGTGAACATTGGGATTCTCTGACTTAAGCATGTCCTTCCCACCACTGTCTAATCAGGACCATTTGTGTGATCAGATTAATACAACATTATTGTCACAATTGAACAGCACCTGTGTACACAGTGCAGTACGCTCCTTTAGAGGGCAGTGGATTCCTAAAAGCAGAGTCATCTCCAGGCTGTATGGCTTGTTACAAAGTGTAAAGCAGGCATGTAACTGGGGTTTTTTGCCCTTATGTAGCCCTCTCACTCCTCCTCTGAGGTCCTCAGCCAATTTAAGATTTAAAGCCTTGTTTGTTCACACCACATTTAGTACGTTCCAGCACGATTAGTGGCCTGAACACACTGGATCACATAGAGCAAGTCCTCCCTGCGTTCTGGGGCGGGAGGGGGTAAGGCGGTGCCATTAATGTCAATAGCACCGCAGTCTGCAGTGCAATCGCCTGCACTAGAACGCGTGGCACAGCAATGGTCCGGTGCGATCATAAAAAAATAGTGTATGCCCCACCCGCCCCAGAAAGTGGGAGGCTTCAATTTAGCAATCCAGTAAGTTCCGGCCACTAACCGTGCTAGAATGCACTGGATGTGGTGTGAGCGGGCTCTAAAACTGAATGTGATTTCAGCCAGTTCTGTAATTGGTAAATGCTGCAATTCTTACAATAATTTACAGCTGCATCCTCAAGAAAAAGTTTTCTGGAACCTTTTCTCAGCTGTTGCCAGCCCACAAAAGGACTCAGGAGCTGAGTGTATGTCTGGCACATCAACGGGTAATTTTCTGAACATGCATGGTCTTTAAATGGATAAAATTGGGAAATGTGCATTTATTGCATAGTTATACTGCATATGTTTTTTAATTTGTCCTGGCCAATGTGGCTGACAGTAGGTAGACCGGGAAACCACCATACACCTATAGCTAATTTCTGATCTGTGTAGATGCCATCTACATGAAGTAAAAAATAAATAGCCCAGGATTGACTTTCGCAGCTGACTGCTACTATTTCCCAAGGTAAGGTCGCTGCCAAGGTTGTCTGCACAAAGCATAAACATGCATGATTAACCAGAATGACTGTACATATTTATATCACATTCACAGACCATTGATCAACAGTTTATTTTTATGCCACAAACTGTTGTATGAACGGCCAAAACTGTGCAACAATACCTGCATGTGTATGATTATCTTTACATAGACCATTCCTGCCACCATGGAAATGAAGGAAAACACTTACTGTCCAATCGTGTCTGCTTTCCATCGATATTGCATATCTTGGTGTAGGAATCCTCAATGGTCGGATCATAATCGGAAACAAAGTAGGACTGGATGAAGGGAAAAAAAAAAAAGGCAAAATATTACTTTTTTAATGTAAATGTATAAAAACAGCCATTCATTCTATAGTCAACCAATAATACTTAAATAATGCAAAGCTCTCAAATGTCCAAATTTCTGATCTAAAAAGGCTTTAATTTGAAATCACTGCAAATTCACGGAAGGGTGACCATGCCCTCAGATAGCTTCCCCCAACAAGGTATTCTCTGCATTGAATCCGTCAGTGCACCCCTGAAGTGTATGGAAGAGCATGCAATTGCCTTATGTGACAACTGTTTGGGCATAAGTGGGCAATCGCCAGCTCAATCACTATCAACCACTTGGTGGGGGGGGGGTTTGGTGGGAGAATGGTGGTAGTGACACCAACCGCACTGGCATGTTCAGACAGAGCTAACTCAATGTGGACTCCAGCAGGGTGAGCATGGATGGACAAGTACAACTTGCTGGGTGGGGAGTGGGCTATAAAGGAGTTACTGTAACCATGCCCTGGATAGACAACAACATCTTTAAATGTAATTGATAACTAAAGCCAATTATTTAAATTTCTGATGTATTAGGGAAGGGTTAAAACTAGTGATGCAACGATACTAGCATCAGCGTCGATACTAAGTATTTGGGGGCGTACCCTTACTCGGCCAAATATTCCCGATGCCTATCCTGATACAGGAACGTCCAGTGTCAGGAAGCCGGGCGGCATGTCATAGAGCACCAGGGCAGTAATGCATACGATTCCATATCAAGCAAACTCTGGAAGAACACGTACAGTCCATGCAGAGGGTGCTTCTTTTGATAATTATTATTTTTTTTTTTAATTGTAGATACAAACTACCGTTTTACTCAAGCCTATTTCTGCAATCATAACAGACAATTTACAAATGTCAAAACACAAAAGATTCCAAATGAGGAAATGGAAAATCATTTGCATCCAGAATGCATTAGGCTTGCATTGGTTTCAGTCTGCAGAACACCCCTTGTTAAATGCAAGCTCACATTTATAAGCATTCACTGAAGGAGGCAGACGGACCATAACACACCAGACCTCTCAGGGACACCACAGAATGCCAGACACCAGCAAACAAGGTGGTGACAGAAATGATTACCTTGGACTTTGTTCACATTGTGACATAAATAAACAGAGCAAGTCACAGTCATATGCTATATCAGCAAAGCACAAAGCTGCCTTATTAAATAAACAGCACAACATCATAAACACACGCAAAACAATATTCAGTTTGCTCCATGCAAGGTCTGTCACAGTGACAAGGCATACTGCAAAGGAATTCTTGGTAAAAACTTAAAGGCTCTATTGATCTATTTTATGTGAATGCCTTACAGTTGCTAGTGTACTGGTCTCCCAAATTAAAAACAAAAAAACTAAACAGATGTCAATGCAACGGAACACAAGTAAAAATAAATAAATAATAATACACAGAAGTTTGTCCACTCAGAACATGTTAATTACAATTACGATTGGCAAAAATAAAAGCCAAAAACATAAAATCCAACAGAAGTCAATGGAGGTTAAAATTGCACGTCAACAGACCTCTGTTGACTCACGTTTTCGGCCGGATATTGGTGTGATTGGTCCCCTAAGTGTATTTTCACTTTAGAGTTTAGAAACCCTCCGCTATAGGCTTGTTATGTGTTCACATTCATGCAGCATATCTAAAATAATATTAAAGAAAATTTCTTATCCTTTAGGTGTAGCCTTTGCAAGCTTCTTTCTCAATTTCATTAACAGCAAGCTCTGACTATCCCCATAGAAAGGCAATGCTTCTAAGGCCTCATTCACATGAGAAAAGGCCGGCACGTACAGCTCCGTGCACGGCCATATCAGGCAGCTCTCTGGAAGGACAGATTAGTATGCAGCCCCTGTCCTTCTCTATGGGAGTACGCGGCCATACGCTGCCCTACGCTCACCCGCCCTGCACATCTGTGCGGGTGTCCGTACTCGTACGCTGACAGGATGCACCCGTACGGACCTGCACTTGGGGTGAGCGTAGGGCGGCGTATGGCCGCGTACTCCCATAGAGAAGGACAGGGGCTGCGTACTAATCACACGCAGCACCTGTCCTTTCAAGGAGCTGCCTGATATGGCCGTGCACGCAGCATGGATCTGTATGAGCCGGCCTTTTCTCATGTGAATGAGACCCCCTGTTTTTAACCCTTTGTTAGGGCAGACCATGTTCAAATCTAGCTTACAACTGAATAATTCCAACTAAAATTATGATGACTAAAACTATAAACAAAAATATATTGACATTAGGCAACTAACTAAAACTAGATTAAAATGTTAGTGATTTGGGAAGAGATCCAAGCAGAACTAATCTCTTTGGACTTCCAGTTTCAGTTCCATTCTGAATGGATGGCTAATAAGTAATATGTACAATGGCATTACAGCCCATATAGTTTTTTTATTTTAATATTTTAGAGTTGCACTTCTGCTTGAAAGAACAAAGAAGGTCATATGCAAGTGGTTATAATCAATGCATATCTAATTACTGGTTCTTTGTTGAAAATATTCAATATTATTGTTTCTTTATAAGAAGACTTGGTTTAACCTAATTTTAAGATAAATAAAAGACATGTTATGTCTAACAACAGTTAAATCTGTGTCTGTATTGCATGTTCAAACCTTAATACCATACGTAATAACAGGTTAACAGATGTTTACTCCAGAAGTATATAAGGAGATTGGACATTTTAGAAAAATTCTTAAAATTAAAACCACTCGATTTTTAGTAGACTAAATCTACTGTAGATTTAGTCGATTAAAATCTTATAATATTTAGTTGACTAAAGCCAAAACAATTTAGATGACTAAAATATCACCAAAACTAAATGGCATGTTAGTCATAAGCCTGTGACAAACTAAAATAGAAATTTGCTGTCAAAATTAAACACTGCAGGTCAGTAATAGTCCAAAAATTATGTAAAAAAGCCAATAGTGGATTTCATAACTGGACTTTTAAAACACTGGAAAAAAAAAACCCCCAAACATTGTAGTTTCCATAGTTGGGCCCATGTACAAAAACTACACGCTGGGAAACATGGCTTCTGTCAACTTATAAAAAAACCTAGTCAGATTCAAATCAGCTTGGGAAAATGACCACTGGAAAATTCAAGTAATCTCAAGACTGCCAGAGGGAAGTCATCCATGTAAATTAGATTGCTTTGAAAACCCACCAAATCCCTCCCCCCCAAAAAATATAATATACAGACTTAGGCTGGGGTTAAATGTTCGAGCCATCATAAAAAGATCATATAAAAGGCTACAACAATTAAAATATTCCGAGACAGCACAAAGATTAAGGTTATGTCATAACTTTATTGACAAATAGAAAGACATTTGAGTGGAACCATAAAAATCATCCCTTTATCTCCTTGGGGCCCAGATGTGACATGTAAATGCTGGGACTGTGACCTTAAACTGGCCCTGTGTCACACCTGAGAAGGGCGTATGTGGTTACCGAGCAGTAAATAACTTTATCTAGTCTACAATTCAAACATCCTGCTATTTGTATGGGCCATAAATCAAACTGTCTGGAAGCAGGAGACCAATGGACCTTGACATACCAATAAGGGGGTTGGGTTTCCGGCTGGATACTGTCCCAAGTCTTCTCAAGTTTCTAAGAGTTGCAGAATGTGACGAAGCAGTGACCACCCGCAGTCAACTACTACTACTGTTCTGCAAGACAACACTCTTGCCTTCAAAAGTAAATATGACCCATTCAAGGCGCTCAGCACACACAGACAGAGTCGTAAATATGCACCCATAGACTGAAAGCCATAAATACACATGTACAGTTAACAGTTGAAGGCATTGACCTAGTACTTTTAAAGGGGTTCCTCACCCTTATTGACTTTTTAAATAGAGGGCATTTTAAAGAAATTAAAGCATTGGTCTTAGGTCTGCAGCTCCGTGTTGTTGCACTAGCTATGAAATTACTCCTTAAAAACACGAAAATACTGATCACCTAGTGCACACAACCATCTGGGTTCCACTGGACACGATCTTAGTGATGGGTGAGGCAAAAGCATTTATTGGCTGCTGAGCCAGAAACAACCAATCAGTGCTTCTGCTTCACCTGCATACATTTTCTCTTCTCATATAACCTAGGAAGGTAAGAGGAGAGACAGGTTACTTAGGAGCCATTTTGTTCAGTAGCCTGGCATATGTCTTATTAGAATTTTTTTCTGTCATTATGCCATCTCATTTCCTCATGTCAGTTAGAAGGAGTGCCTATAATAATGTCAATGTTTATAACTAGAGGACTGCACTGAGCGTAGAGCAACAATACAGCCTTGTAGTAACACAACCAGACTTTTAACCATGTATGCTCTATAACACCCACCAGGTGCTGTTCTCCAAATTTTGAGAAGGAAGTGTCTGGGTTAAGTACCCAGACAGGTTTTTCTATCGCAGGTTTGAAAATAAATGATTATCTGTAGACACTAACAACAACAAGACCTTTTTTGGAAGCCTTTTGTACATTTTTATACTGTATGACTTATGCGGTGTGGATAGAACCCTGCTCTGCTTGTTTTCCTCCCGCTAAAGTGAACCAATGCTTTGCCCATGAAGGGCATTTCGAACAGGTTCACTTAACACCAATCTCTTCGAGCGATCCACTCCTAGATTCTCCAGCCTCTACTCTAATTCCTGCATTGACCTTTCTCCCTCTCGTGCTGCCCCTACTCCTTTTTCTTACTCCTTTCTCTTTCAGCAAATGCTTCTCCCTGCTTCCTCGGGCATCTGCAATCTAGGGACTAAAAATCTAGATAGACATGGATTTCTTGTTATATCCTATCAAAGATAACCCTTTAGACTTACTTTCCATATCCAGAGTATTAAATGTCTTTTGAGATTCTTGCAGTGTTTCTACTAGTTACATCTCGATATGCATACTTGTTTGCTCTGCTTGGATGTTCAACTACTCATTGAAATATGTCGCTACCTGAAGCCTGTTCTTGATGTTGCCATGTGACT